TATAAAATTAAAACGGCAATATATATATATACACATCTCGAGATCCAGCGGGCCGCCACTGATGCACGGTAGAGATTGCATCTTTAGATCTCCGATCATGTTCACAAATTCATGGACTAGTGCTGTCTCGTAAGAATTTCATAGGACGCGTTAAGAATGACAAAATATTCTCTGTATCTACTGGAACCGAGCCACATAGCTTGTATTCCACTATTTGCATTCACACCTGGGCTGTGTATATTATTATTGCCTTGGTTTGGCTCTGTAATCATTAGTGGTCGTGGGACCAGTTTGGGCCATACCTAAGCTGGTCGGAACGTTTCGTTTGGGTCTATACCCTAGCTGCACTGATGAGGCCCGGAAGGCCGAAACGGATCCGTCTGCAGATATTGGGATTCCTTCCAGTGGATGCTTAGTTTATTTTGTCATTCTGATCGGATTTCCTCTACTGTTCCGTTTTAATTTTAAATTTTAATATTATGTGGCTGTTTGCTGTTTTATGGGTTTTTCCCATCTGCCTTTTAAAATTTATATATATATTTATATTTATATTTATGTTTTCATTTATATTGTACTTTAAAGCAGATATAGGACATACCTAAAATAAAATCCGTGCTTTATTTATTTTAATTTCCGAATCTGCCTATACAACAACCTTAATTTCATAAATTTCATATTAATTCATATTCGTTTGTACATAATATGTATACAATAATATGTACTGGACATAGGCCTATATTACGTCGTATAATATAAAATGCTGTACATTTCCATGGTAATATATATATATATATATATATATATATATATATATATATATATATATTAAGGCGTCTTGTATATATATATATATAGAAAAATATATATATATATATATAGAAAAATATGGAGACGATGGTAAATGAAAATACAGACATCGAAGGTAGACTTAAGGAACACAAAAATATTTCTTTATAAGTTAAATATTTTTTAAATAAATTTTATAAATAAATATTTAAAAATAATTAAAAAAATCCGTGCTTTATTTATTTTATTTTCCGAATCTGCCTATACAACAACCTTAATTTCATAAATTTCATATTAATTCATATTCGTTTGTACATAATATGTATACAATAATATGTACTGAACATAGGCCTATATTACGTCGTATAATATCCATAATACTATATTATATTATATAATGCTAATATTTCCTTTCTTTCTGTGCACAGGCCTATATAATGTTAACCTTTCAATATATTGTAATTATTATCATCACTATTAGTTTACTATCATTGGTGTATTTGAAATAAGGCTCATCCTAATTATGATGCCATTTTAAATATAATAGGCGTAATAATATTAAAATATTTTCTATCCTAATTTCACAGCCTATCTATATATCTCAAAATGGCTACCGAAGCTCTTGATAAGATCAACACTATCAAATTTATTTTAGCAAAAAACTGCTGTATATCCATATATTGTATACAGTCATAATGTGCGTATAAAATGGTCACGATGTGACGTCATCTTTACCATACTTAAGGCCAACTCAGACAGCGACGTACGACGCAGCCCGACGCGATTTGTTGTCGCGTCGGGTCTGTGTGAGCGATGGTGTGCGTCGGGGGCATCGCGTCGTAGAATATTAAACATATTATATATTTCTCACGACGGCTTAAGACTGTCCCCGACGATAAATCGGGTCGGGCTGCGTCGACCGACGCTGTCTGAGTTGGCCTTTAAACATGGCTGGACAAGCCTTTAAGTTCTAGTATGAAATATAAGTTGAAAGCAAAAAGCTCCATCGAAACCCTAATTTTATTAATTAACAATAAGTCTAATAATGGTAATGACAATAATGATTCAGCACAATAAATGAGATGCACAAATTAATGCAATATTAGGTCTGATGGTGAGTTTGAAAATTATCTACTAGAAATGTAATTAAATGATTGCACATATGCTGATTAGGCCTGTATTAAATAAAATATTTTCTTTCTTACTAAAACGAATTTAGATTATAGTTATATTTAGCCTATTTATAAAAGTGATATTCGAGTGGTTGGTCTATATGTGAACCTGATGTTAGTTCCATTGTCCGGCGGATAAGTTGATTTGATCGTCCTAAAGCATCTCATGATTTTTTGTTGGTACCATTAATATTGGAGGTCGTGACTTTTACGGAATAAGCTGTAGTTGTAGAGAATTGTTTCAGTTTCACCTGCTGCCTTGAATCCGATTTTCCGCACGTTATTATGTAGACGTACGCCAACCGGAATCGTTTATTCATAACGCCATAAATCACGCCGTTAAGACAACTATTCATATCAGCTAACACAATAAAATACATGTAGATGTATTTGCTACAATTCATATTTCGATCAAACATAACGAGGCTCATAAATGGCATCCAACATATGAGGAATATGATAAATATGAAGAGCACAGTTTTCAAAATCTCGCAGTCCTTTGGTCTGTTTTTTGGTAATTTTTTCGAGTCTCTTCTCTCACTGTCCGCCACGTTCATCAGTTCACGGGTGCTGGACCGCACTCTCAGATAAATCCCGACGTAAGCAAATATTATGCCAGCAGTAGGTATGGTGAAACCCAAAAAAGCTTGGAAAATTAGACTACCGTATGATGATTTCTGATCGTATGTGCATCCGAAATGTTTGTCATTTAAACTATGACCTCCCCATCCGAAGACATTAGCGAAATCTACTACGATTGCCAGGAACCATATTGCTATCGCTAATAGAATGGAATTGCACCAAGTAAAATAACGATGATAAAGCCGACGCCTGCAAATAAACAAATACCTGGAACGGAGAGAAGAAAATGGGATCAATTATAATAATTATAATCATAGTAAGTGTCGATAGGAAAAGAGACAATGATGGATTAGAGTTAAAATGGAAACAATTTAAAGAGAACAGGCGATGAAATAAATGTTCAGTATTTATCAGAGGTCTAAAGGATTTTGATGAATATAAATGAAAGATAATAATAAACTGTGACACCTCAGCTTAATATCCCTCAGGAGTGGACTTCATATTTGATTAAATGGATCACGAAGTCTGAATATTGGAATGAGATTGCCAGTCGCTCGTGTTAATGATATCACAGCAAATGGTAAATGTATACAGTATCATTCGGTTATTTTTATGAGTTAAAAGTGCCAAATGTTTTGTGTACCAGACCTAATTTGCATTACGTTTTTATGTGTTTGTATGCACACATTCACATTTACAAAATAATGCAGTGGTAGAGATTAAAACAATGTTTCATTGCAGAGCGTGATCATACGTGTTTACAGTACTTGGATAAGTAATTATTTAACATTG